CATGCTGCAATCCCTTCTCCTCCATTCTCCTCTCTGGATCTTGGGCACGCACGCACACACACCTGGCGTGAGTTTTAAGCCACAGGGTCCGGGACGCGAACCACGGTCGACTACGTGGGAGTCCAGTGACATAGCCATTACGCTAACTGCTGGTTCCCTCACTGTGGTTATTATAGTGTCCTTTTAATAGACTATTTAGCCCCCCCCCCTTTTTTTTTTTCTATTTTAGTGTTCTATGTTGGTGATTTGCTGTTTAAAATGATCCCCAAAGATAGTGCTGAAATGCTATCTACTGTTCCTAAGTGCAAGAAGGCTGTGATAATGGCTCAACCTGGTGTCATTAACAGTAACAAAATGAACTACAGTGCTGGAAACCTCATGGCTGACTGCAGTTTGGGATCCCTGGGTCAGCTTGAAAGCATGTCAGGTGCATGCATGCATGCCCAAGATCCTAACAATCTGGAGGGTTGGGAAAAGGGCCTTTTGGTATAAGGCACTATTGGTGGTGCCTCTCTCTCTTGCTCTCCAACCCCACATGCATGATCAAAATAAACTTTTTGTTTTTAAAGTTCATGATAAGGACTAGCAGGAGGCGTGGTGGTTAAGGCGCTGGACTTGCACATGGCCAACTGTGGTTCAAGCCCTAGACCTGGTAGCTTGAAAATCATGCTAGGTGTATATGTGTGTATGCTCCAAATCCTAGGAGAACTGAGAAGGGACTGCAACATGGCCATTTCCCCTAGGGGGTGATTTTTCACTTTCCCTTTCTCTGTCTCTCTCCAACAAGCACACATACTGTATAGTAAAAGCCTAAAAAAAAAAAAAGTTCAAGATATGTCTTATGAAGGAAATACAAGTGTTAAAGTAAGCATCATTCAGTCATGAGTTATGCAACTGTTGGCTGTGAGTTCAATGTTTTTGAATCAATAATATGGTACTGCCAGAAATAAGAGGAAATTCACTTGGCTGTATGTAAGTTTGCTCCAGAAAGTGCTAAAAGTTAACATCTAAAGTGTGTGATTTCACTATGGTAAACATGGAAAAGAAACTAACTTTGTGGATTTATATGATGATAGCCAATTACCAAAGCACAAAGGATAGTATTACAATAAGACTGAAAGCCAAATAAATGATTCAGGTCAGAAAAATGTTAAATCTGGGACCAGCAGTTAGCGTAATGGCTATGTTGCTGGACTCCCATGTAGTCAACTGCGGGTTGAGTCCTGGACCCAGTGGCTTGAACTCATGCCAGGTGCACATGCGTGCGTGCCCAAGATCCTGAGAGGATAATGGAGGAGAAGGGATTGTGGCATGGCCATCCCCCTGGGGGGTAATTTCTTGCTTTCTGTCTCTCTGTCTGTCTGTGCCCTATAGCAAAAACTCTCTCCAAAAAAAAAAGAAAGAAAGAAAAATGTTAAATCCTGCTCACACATTTTAAAAGGCAACCCAGTATAAAAGTTTTTTTTTTCTTAAGAGAGATTTTTTTCTATAGGGTGTGTGTGCTCACTCAAGAGACAGAAAGAGGGAAATCACCCCCTGGGTGGATGGCCATGCTGCAATCCCTTTTTCTATAGTCTCCTTTTGGGATTTTGGGCCTGCACACACACATGCTTGGTGTGAGCTTTAAGTCACCAGGTCCAGGACTCAAACCATTGTCGACTACGTGGGAGTTCATTGATGTAACCATTATGTCATCTGTTGGTCCCCAGTGTAAAAGATTTTAAACTTGCAGAAAAAGCAAGTTCTGCAGTTCAAAAAGCCACAGAATTTAATATGCGCTAATTGTTACACAGGAAAAGGGTTATGTGGAAAAGCAAGTTTCAGTTTTAAGGAAACTAGTTTGTTTATTTGCTAATGGCACAAATGGCTCTCAAAATCCCTAAGTCATTCAAAGACCAAGCAACTTTGTTATTGAGTGTGAATACTAATAGGGACTTTAAATGCAAACCCCTAATGATGTATAAATCCAATTCACAGGAAACTAAAAGGAAGATTCTGAACCATATATCAGTCCATTGTTTTTCTTTTCTTTTCTTTTTTTTTTAGAGAGAGAGATTTTTGCTATCTGTTGGGTACATTCACCAGAGAGACAAAAAAATGAAAAATCATTCCCTGGCAGAAGGTTGGCCATGCCACAATCCCTTCTTCTCCATTCTCCTCTCAGGATCTTGGGCATGCATGCACATGTGCTTGGCATGAGTTTTAAGCTGCCAGGTCTGGGACTTGAACTGCAGTCAACTACATGGGAGTCCAGTTACATAACCATTACACCACCTGCTGGCCCCTATGTCAGTCCATTGTAAATGAAACACAAAAGTGTGGGTAACTTCAGAGATATTCTAGGATTGCTTCCAGAACTGCTTCTTCCAAGAAGGTGAATGTCATCTCCACGGAAAAAAACCCCTTTCCTTCAAAGTTTTAATTTTGGATACTGCAAGTTCATTACCATAAAAAACTTCAAAACTGCCATTCTAATCTAGATATTCTTTTCATGTCCCCAAACACTGTATCTTGTCATCCAACCATTTAATCAGGGCATACTTAAAGTGTTCAAGGTGTGTAACATGGGAGTAGCCTAGTAGTTAAGAGAGCCAGATCTCACATGGCTGATCATGGTTTGAACCCCAGTCTTAGTGGCTTGAAAATCACATTAAGCATGTCTATATGCATGCCTCAAATCCTGAAAGGGTGGAGAAATGGAGAAAGGATTGCAACATGAGTACTACACATAGGGTGGTGCTTTCTCCTCCTTCTGCCCCTGCGAGAACACACCCTCCAGCAATTAAAAAAAAATTAAGGTGTACAACATGAGGGAGCTTTATAGAAAAGCATGTGAGGCTTCTAAACACCAAAAGGAAACCATCATAATGGACTAACTGGAAGTCAATCACTATATGCAATATTATTGTGTTGGCCCAGGCTTGAACAGTATCAATCAGGTTACAATCAGTAACTGTTAGACTTAGAAAAAATACAGACAGTGCAAATATACATCATATTCCATGGCAAGTAATTGAAAAAGGTTTAAATGACATGAAGATGTGAAGGAAATTTTGGCAAAAGACACTAGAATCTGCCAACGAAGAGCTGAATGTTATAGCAAAACAAGGTATCAAAATCATCAATAATAAGGGCTATAATGAAAGGCAGCTTAAGATTCCAAAAATTATTCCTCTCATTGCAGCCAAAATAGCAGAATGGAATTCTGCCTTGGAAAAATATTCAGTGATGTGGAAGAATGTGATCCTTTAAGCACCTCACTTCCACTGCACTCCCTTATGCTGAGACACTCAAAATTTTAGGAGATAAGCCAAGGTTGATGCAATGCTTCAAGCCAGTTTAGGAGGTAGATTGCAAACACTGTAAACAAGCAATGGGAGTGAAACTCATGAGAAAGAACCACTAGATGTCGACATATACTCTTGTAAATATTTCCCTCTTTCAGAGAGTAAGTTCCATTAACCTCTCCCTTGGTTCTCTTGGAGCATACAAAGGTCAAGAATTTTAACTACACAGAGCATTGTCTTATTACACATCCTATTGCTCCCCAAAAGTAGAATTTGGGGACCAGCAGAGGGCATAATGATTATGTATCTGGACTCCCACATAGCTGACTGGAGTTTGAGTACTGTACCTGGCAGCTTAAAACTCACACTGGGCACATGTGTGTATCTGCCAAAAATCCTGAGAGGAGAATGAAGACGGCATTGTGGAGTGGCCATCCCCTCTGGAGGGGTGATTTCTCGCTTTCTGTCTGTGAGCAAAAATTTCTCTCTCTAAAAAAAAGGTAGAATTTTAATCTTTTCTTAGTACCATCTTTATTTGTATAACTGCACTGTACAATATGTGCTCATGGTTTATTATGTTTTGAAGTGTTTAGTATAGGTATATGAGTATTTTATGTGTTATGTATACTAGTATTTTATGCTTATTGTGTATGTTTAAATAATTGAGTGAAAACATCAAAGCAGTACATTAACACTATAGTAATTACACAAAAATGTAGTAATTATTTTTTAAGGTTTTTGCCATAGGACATGTGTGCTCACCAGAGACACAGAGAATAAGAAAGTAAGAAATCAGTCTCCCAGTGGGGGTGGCCATACCACAATCCCTTCTCAATTCTCCTCTCAAAATTTTGGGCATGCATGCATATGTGCCCTTGTGTAATTTTCAAGCCTATGGGTCTCGGAATTGAACTGTGGAGTCAGCCATGTGGGATCCAGTGCCTTAACCACCATGCCATCTGCTGGCCCTGCATTAATTAGTTTTATTATAAAGAATAGTAATTGTTACAGTTACAAGAAACACATATTAGATCAGGTGTCTTCAAACGAAAAATCATAAAAGGTTATGTATTGATTAATTAAAATCTTTAGACCAGAGGCTCATGGGAACCTAACCCTGTATTTTCTGTAGTAACAGTATTTCAGTATTCACTAATTCGGTGTGCACAGCAAATTGATAAAACATAACTATCATAATAACAAGAATTCAGTGTGTGTATGTACTTGATGACTTTTGATTTCTCAGTAAGATTTATGATCCTCAAGGATAGAGACGTTTTGGACAAAGAAATAGTTTTACTAAATGTTGGCAAAACTGTCCTCAGTGGTCCAACTCTCCTGTCTTTGGATGTATTAAAAAGCACTACCTCACTTCCCAGGACAAACTGTCATAGGCTTGACAAGGAAATTAGAAGTCATGCATACATTTATTTTCCTTTTCTGAGTTTCTTCCTCTATCTCCTCTTAAAATACTCTGGAGATGAATTTGTAGTGTACATAAGAAATTGTTGCTGAGGGACCAGCAGTTAGCGTAATGGCTATGTCGCTGGACTCCCATGTAGTTGACCGCAGTTCGCGTCCCGGATCCAGTGGCTTAAAACTCACGCTGAGCGCATGTGCGTGCGTGCCGAAGATCCTGAGAGGAGAAGGGATTGCGGTGTGGCCATCGCCCAGGGGGGTGATTTCTCGCTTTCTGTCTCCCTGTCTCTCTCTGTCTGGCAAGCGCACACGCCATATAGCAAAAACCTCTCCAAAAAAAAAAAAGAAAGTTGTTGCTGACCTTTTACCTAAATACATAATAACCACTGGGTCTCTCTTCTGGGTAATTCTCAGCTGTAGTGTTAAGGAAGGCTCTCAGCTGGGTCAATTTCTAATAAAATTTTTTAGGTGACAAGCCACATAAAGCTTTCCTAGGGATGACAAGTATGTTCCTCTTCAGTATGAATTCTCAGATACTGAGAGTTAGCTATTTTTTCTGGTCAAAAGGTTTTTCTCAATAGTTATATTTAAAAGTAAACATATTTCACCAGTACAAGTTCATTAAAGTTGAATGAAGTGAACAGAGTTACAAAGGCCTTCCTGTATCTTTTAAACTCTAGTATGAACCTTTCGGTGGTGTGTGAAGGATGAACTGTAGCTGAAGGTCTTTCCACATTCACTGCATTCAAAAGGTTTCTCTCCAGTGTGAGTTCTCATGTGCTGAGTTAAGGCAAAGTTATCAGAAAAAGCCTTCTCACATTCTTTGCACTCAAAGGGTTTTTCTCCAGTGTGGATCCTATTATGTCGAACAAAATTTGCAGGCTGGGTAAAGGCTTTTCCACATTCTTTGCAAACATAGGGCTTCTCTCCAGTGTGGATCCTCATGTGTCGAATAAAGGAAGAGCTGTAGTAAAAGGCTTTTGCACACTTTTTACACTCCAAAGGTTTTTCTCCACTGTGGGTCCTGTTATGTCGGATAAAAACAGAATGGTGTGTAAAGGCCTTTCCACATGCACTGCACTCATAAGGCTTCTCACCAGTATGAATCCTCATGTGTTGAATTAAGGAAGAGCTGTCACAGAAGGCTTTCCCACATTCTTTGCACTCAAAGGGCTTCTCTCCAGTATGGGTCCTCTTATGACGGATAAAAGTGGAGCGATGAGTAAAGGCCTTCCCACACTCATTGCACTCATAGGGTTTCTCTCCAGTGTGAATCCTCATGTGTTGAGTGAAGGATGAGTTGAGGCAAAAAGCTTTCCCACATTCTTTGCACAGAAAGGGTTTTTCTCCCGTATGGGTCATATTATGCTGGATAAAAGTGGAACGGTGAGTAAATGCCTTTCCACATTCACTGCACGCGTATAATTTCTTTCCAGAATGAATTCTCATGTGTTGAGCAAATGAAGAACTATAGTAAAAAGCTTTCCCACATTCTTTGCATAAAAATGGCTTTTCTCTCATGTGGGTCATACTATGTTGGATAAATGAAGAGCGGTGGGGGAAAGCTTTACAACATTCTTTGCAAAGCTTTACCACATTCTTTGCACTCATAGGGCTTATCTCCAGTGTGAATTCGCTGGTGCTCTGTGAGGTGAGACCTACGTTTGAAGGCCTTCCCACATTCAATACACTTGTATGGTTTTTCCCCAGTATGAAATCTCTTATGTCGAATGAAGTCAGCCATATAACGACAGGCTTTCCCACACTCACCACATTCATAAGGCTTTACTTCAGCATGAATTTGTTGGTGCCGAACAAGGGCCCAATTCTTGCTAAACCCTTTTCCACATTCTTTGCATCTGTAGGGGTTATTACTTGCATTGATTACAGAGTCTTTTCCTGGTCTTTGGGAATCATGTCCACGGAGAGCATCTCGTGGAGTGACTTGCTCTTGTAAAACCCTTAAACACAGACTATTGTCTCTCTCCGAGTCATTATGTCTATGGCTCAATTTCTCAGGACACATCTCCTTGTGGGTCTCTGTTCCTGGCCTTAAGTTCCCTTCCTGCTTTTCTGAAAGCTTCTGCTTTTTGTTATTAGCTTGCCACGATAAGGAATCTCTGGAGAATCTCTGAGTCAGCTGTCCCTGGAAAGAGGATTCATCAGAGAAGGCCAGCTGAGAAGCAGTAGGCTCTGTAATCCTGGGGTTTGCTTTTTCACCTGAAGGACATCCAATATGAAAAAGGCATTTATTAGTGATGTCAATACAAAATAAACAAAACCAGCACTTTTGTAAAAGAGTGAAGATGAAAATAGTACCTCTGCTGCCTACTATATTTTTATATACCAGATTGCAATTTTTTTCCTTTCTATTCCTTGGACTTTCAACATCTTTTTTTTTAATTTATTTTTTTTTAGAGGTTTTTGCTATAGGAGTGTGCGCTCACCAGAAAGAGACAGACAGAAAGACAGGAAGTGAGAAATCACCCCCGGGGGGGATGGCCACACCACAATCCCTTCTCCTCCATTGGGCACACATGTGCATGCATGCACACATGACCAGCATGAGTTTAAGCCACCAGGTCCAGGACTCGAACTGCAGTCAACTACATGGGAGTCCAGTGACGTAGCCATTACACCATCTGCTGGTCCCCTTCTAATTTTTAAAAAATAATTATGTATTTAATTTTATTTATTAATTTAGTCATTTTCATTTGACCAGAGAAAGACAGGCACACAGAGAGAAGGAAAGTGAGAAAGAAGGCCACCGTGTCCAAGACTAGAACTGTGGTCAGCCATGTGGGAGTGTCCAGTGCCTTAACCACCATTCCACCTGACTATTAATATCTTTAAAAAGAATAGGAGGAAAAGCTGGAGCAGGGGGAAGAAACTAGAGTGGAAATTCTTCCACTCTTTATAACATGAAAGGGTGGGCAGAATAATGATTATACTATGTGTAATGAATGTGCTTTAAGAAAAGAAGTCTCAGGGAACCAGCAGTTAGCGTAATGGCTATGTCGCTGGACTCCCACGTAGTCAACCGCGGTTCACGTCTCGGACCCGGTGGCTTAAATCTCACGCCGGGCGCGTGTGCGTGCGTGCCCAAGATCCCGAGAGGAGAATGGAGGACAAGGGATTGCGGTGTGACCATCCCCCCTGGGGGGTGATTTCTCGCTTTCTGTCTCTATGTCTCTGTCTGTCTGGTGAGCGCACGTGCCCTATAGCAAAAACCTCTCCATAAAAAAAAAAAGAAGTCTCACTGCACTATAACAACACAGGGAATGTGCTTCTAAGTTGGCCTAGATGGGAGATAGAGAGCTCGTGGAGCCTACCAGAAAAGATGTTGTGTGAGCTTAATAATAAAAAAGGAGAGTAGAAATTCCAAGTAGCAGAATTAGGAGGGAAATTGCAGAAAATACTGAATGCTGAGCAAAGTGAAATGGGGGACAGGATGTGATGAGGATGCAGAGGTATGCAGGGACAGAGTAGAAACAGAGTCTCAGGATTTTGGTTTGTGCAAAAGTAGGGAAAAAAGATGAAAAGGAACTGGATGGACATACTGAGTCTGCTATGTCTGAATAAAGACATGAAATTGATAAGTTCTAGATGAAAAAATCACAAAACAACACATTAAATATAGACATGAAAAGAAATATTAATAGTGTAAAGTTGTCAGTTCTCCCCACATTCATCTATGAATTTAACAGACCACCAGATAACAGCCTAAAAGAGTTTTTCATGAACACTGACAAGCTGATTGTGGAATTTGTAGAGACTAGAGCTATTGCTAAAGAAAATTAATAAAGCAGGGGGGACATGTCTTACGAGGAATAAGTATTATTATTATTTTTTCTTAGAGACATTTTTGCTGTAGGGCACGTGTGCTCACCAGAGACAGAAAGCGAGAAATCACCCCCCAGAGGGGATAGCCATGCCACAGTCCCTTTTCCTTCCTTCTCCTCTTGGGACTTTGGGCATGCATGCACACGTGCCTGGTGTGAGTTTCAAGTCACAGGGTCTGGGACTCAAACAGGAATTGACATCGTGGGAGTCTAGCAATGTAACCATTATGCCATCTGCTGGTCCCAGGTTAAAGTATTAAAAAAGGCAGTATGATGGAGGCATAGATAGATGATCACCTGTCAAAAGAAAAAATGGAACAGACAACTCAGAAATATAATATGTATATAGATGGGACTGATATCTGACAGAAGTAGCAGAGAAGGCCAGTGAGAAAATGATGAACTATTTCATAAATGAACCTAGTTTCCCTACTTACCATATAGGGAAAAATAAAATTGTATTCTTACCCCATTCCACACACAGAATTACCTTCTGACTATACACATGCATGAGAATACAATGAAACAATCTTTTTTTTTTCTTTTTTGAGAATGTTGCTCAGTTTTTAATGATATGAACATATATTAGATTCATTTTTTGACTTTTTAATAGTGGTTACATACATATAACATAATATTAACCTTTTAAAGATGAGAAACCTTAAAAAGTATAGGTAGACAAATTAGAAAAGTAGACAAATCCCTTCAATGACTCAAATAACCCAAATTGACACACACACAAACTAGAATATCTATACAGTTTATGTTTATTTTAAACAAATGAATCTTCTACAGAATAAGCAATGGGATAACAAATCCAAAATAAGGTGGCTATCTATGTAAGGCAGCACAAGAACGGGAAAGGAAAGAAACACATTGACAGATGCAAGAAGATAATCTTGTACTTGGGTGAAAGGTTTGTAGATATCCACTACAATCTTTTTACTATTTATTTATTTTAAAGAATTATTTTAAATTTTATTTATTATCATTATAATTACTTAATTTAACCAGAGAGAGACAGAGAGAGGGAGAGTGAGAAAGCAAGCTGCCATGTCTGGGAATTGAACCATGGTCAGCCATATGGGAGTACAATGCCTTAACCACCATGCTACCTGTCAGCCCCATCACTACAGTCTTTCAAAAGAGGAGTGAATAAATAAATACATTAACAAAATGAAATGAAATAAAAAACTAGGATATGCATTGACCAATAGGGATTGTGTGTGATAAATCATGACTCATAATTTTTCTAAATCTGTACACTTTGGGACAATTATAAAAGTCAGAGGGCCAGGGACCAGCAGTTGGTGTAATGGCTATGTCGCTGGACTCCCACATAGTCGACCGCGGTTTGCATCCCGTACCTGGTGGCTTAAAACTCACGCTGGGGCATGTGTGTGCGTGCCCGAGATCCCGAGAGGAGAATGGAGGAGAAGGGATTGCGGCGTGGCCATCCCCGCGGGGGGGGACTTCTCGCTTTCTGTCTCTCTGTCTCTGTCTGGCGAGTGCACGCTCCCTATAGCAAAAACCTCTAAAAAAAAACGTCAGAGGGCCAATAGAGTATTGTAGTTAACTCATTGGTCTCTAAGACAGACACCTCAGTCTGAAATACCAGCAATATCCCATCCTGGCTCTGTGACCTTCAGTGAAAAACTCAAATTTCTTAAGGTTCTTCAAAGGATTTCTGTGAGGATAAAGTAAAACAGCACACATATAACGCTGAGTAAGGTGCTAGAAACTGTGTCAACAATCAGTGTATACTAGCCTTCATGTCCTATATAATGGCATCTATAATGCTTAGGTTGAAGCTAACAGTGTAAACGTGCATGAATATACCCAAAGAAAGTACACAGAAAAAAAGAAAGTGCTGTGAGATTTTGCTGAAGCCAATGTCAAAGAAGCGATGAGAGTAAGAAGACAACAGTGACGGTTGTCAGGAGAGAGAAACAGAAAACAAGACCAAAATGCCGTAAAAGTTCAAGCGTGATAATGTGGGGAAAATTTCAGTTGAGAGACCTACAGAAATGTAGGGTTTTATCCAATAAGAAAAGCAATCAAGAATATCAATAGCAGCACTCTTCATAATATTCCCAAAAATGGAGACCAGGAGATGTCCATCAGTAGGAAAATAGGTATTCATTCAGTGAGTCTTAGGATTCCATCTATATGAGATCACATTAATTAATCTGAGCGATAAAGATTATCAAAGACAGACATGACAGTATATACTGTGGGATTCTAGTTACATGGTTCAAAACTAATATATGATGACAGAGTCTAAATACTGTTTTTTTCCCCCCTTAGGATAATAATATTTAGATGCTGTTAGAGAGCTAAAGGCATTTTTAATTTGTTTTACATTTCTCCCAAGTGTCAGACACTTCATCGCTTTTAAAATTTATTATTTTAAAATTTGCTTTTATTTTAAAAAAGGGCACATGTGCTCACCAGAGAGAGACAGACAGACACACAAAGAGAAAGTGAGAAATCAAGCCGCTAGGTCTTGAACTTGAACCACGGTTGGTTGTGTGGAAGTCCAGTGCCTCAATCACCATACCACCTGCTGGCCCCATTTCACCATGTTTTTAAACATTGAGTACAGAAGGTATGAAAATAGAGAAAAGAGGGAACCAGCAGTTAGTGTAATGGCTATGTTGCTGGACTCCCACGTAGTCGACCGCAGTTCGCGTCCCGGACCTGGTGGCTTAAAACTCATGCCAGGCGTGTGTGCGTGTGTGCCCAAGATCCCGAGAGAATGGAGGAGAAGGGATTGCGGCGTGACCAGCCCCTCTGGGGGGTGATTTCTCACTTTCTAGCTCTATGTCTCTCTCTGTCTATCTGGCGAGCGCACGCGCCCTATAGCGAAAACCTCTCCAAAAAAAAAAAAAATAAATAAAAAAATAAAAAAGAAAGGAAAAAAAATAGAGAAAAGACAGGAAATAAATGAAGAGGCATGGTCTCTGATACAGCTGACAGATTCATGTATGCCTTCTCACAATTCCCACTTTACTGTCTTCCCACCCTTTTACGATGCCCTCCAAAGGAATGTTGGCAGAACCTTGATTTGTTTAAGAATAGAATATGACAAAGGTAAGGGAGTGTATGTGATAAAACACATATAACTTTATAAGACTATAGTGACTATCTTGCAGGAAGTCTCTCACATAGTTACTTGTTTTGAAGTGAGCTGACATGTCTCTAGCTGCCTCTGATTTTAGCCTTGCAGAGGACCCAGCTAAGCTACTCCCTGACTCGTGATCAGGTATGCGGTAATAAATCAGGGATGTTTTAAGCTATAATGTTTGTGGTAGTATTTCTATATAGCAATAGGTAACTGATGCACCTGCGAACGTAGGAGAAGGCATGATCCAGACTCTGCTGGAGGAATTACTCATGGCTGGGGATGAGAACTTTCCCACAGAGGTGAGAAGAAAACTGCAGGAATGAGTCAGGTATGGCTATATCAGAAGGGTTAAAGAGCAAGGCGAAGAATAAGTCGGTAGTTTTTTGACAAAGTCATCAAGTGATAAGGGCAGTGGTGATATTTAGAACAACATTTGAGTGGATGGCAAGCATTCACAAGGGCTGACCAGAGGCACAGAGAGATGTGGAAAAACCAGTGAGGAATCTCTCAGCATTACACAGGCAAGAGATGATGACAGCTGGCCTGGAGTGCTAATGTTGGGGCTAATGGAACTGATGAAGCTGATGGGTTCAGAAGACATGTGTGATGTAAAATGGGACCGGGGAAATGGCTAGATACTGCGTCTGATGGAGATGGTCCACAGTTGCTGAGGGATACGTTATCCAAATCTGCTTTTGGTCTTAACTAATTATTGAAAGATCCTTTAATTAAAAATGGGTATATGGCAGGAACGGGCAAGATCCTTTTTAGGTATCACGAATGTGACATGTTCAAGTGAAGATGTGGAATGGGGGGGGAAGCTCTGCCAGCTTTTACCTGGAAGAACACCAGTAGGGAGAGATCATGAATCTGCAGTGGCACCAATTCACACGCTTGATGGCTCTAACTATCCTCAGAAGCCCATAGGTAAGACTGACAAAGGCAAAGTCACCTTGAGGTTTTACAAGACAGGCAATCAAGAAGACAACAGGACTAGGAACTACTTGTGAGCACCTGACACACAATGGAAGGATGGATGCACGATGGACAGATCAATCAATGATTAAATGGAGAAGATGGAAAAGGGTGGGATGCAGAGTATGAGTTGAATGTAATCTGCAGAAAAAGAAAGGACTGTCTTCTGAATCTGGAGGGAAGTTTGAGATACTATTCATTGCGATTAGTAACATGAGTGTTATTAAAAGTCACTAATAAGAAACTTTTGTTGAGCAACTCCGGATCAGCAGTGTGTTGAGCAGTTTCCTATTATCTAATTACATTCCCAAACATCTCTTATGATGCAGAAACTCTTATCACTCCCTTTTTCAGATGGAGGCTAAGTTTAGCAGACTACATTCATAGTATACATTCACTATACCCGTGGGCTCCTCCCCTTGGGCATAAAGCTTACCCACCTTCCCTGTCTGATACAACACATAGCTTAATACCCAGTTCTTATCAGTGAAATGTGAATGGAAGTGGCGTGTGTACACAAGTTGGTATTGACTACTGCCCTTTTCTCTTATTCTTTTTGGCTAGGGCAATTTTAAAGCCACATATTAACAATATAAAGTACCTAGATCTCTAAGTAAATATGTGGTACAGAGCTCTCCTGCTGACCCACATTAGACTGTGGCATGAACGAGAAGAAAACTCAACTTCCTGAGTCACTAGAATTTTGGGGTTTATCTTTCAGAGTGGATAATACTGTCTAACTTGTATACAGTGAAAGCATGCAACATCCCCGGGGTCATAGTGTGGGTGAGTAGCAAATCATTTAGAACCCAGAGCCTGTCTCCTATCTAATATACCAAGCTGCGTAAAAGCAGAGTGTGTCTGGGGGTGGGAAAACCTGGGACCATGGTTCAAAGTGTTCTATGACCACCCAAACCCCAGAAAGGCCACAAAAAGAAGCTGCCCATGGAATTTCTAATTCAGTGATCCCTGGTGACCTGTAGGCTTCCCTGACACTACCAGACTCTTAGCCACTGACCTGCATATGTACCCTGAGAGGGACCTCTCTTCAGTGTCCATAACTCTTGCCCATGCTCCAGTCGGAAGATGAGTTCTGGTTTGGGAACAGGATGCCCTGTGCATGGAGAAATAAATGGGGCATGTAAATGTAGGTAATGATAAAAGGAAAAGTCTCAAATTTATAGTACATACCTTTTATTTTTAAAAGTTATTTATTATTGGGGTCAGCAGCTAGCATGGTAGTTAAGGCACTGGACTCCCACATGGCTGACCACAGTTCAAGTCCCAGACCTGGTGGCTTACTTTCCCAATTTCTCTCTCTCTCTGTCTTATTCTGGTCAAATTTAAAAATAATAATAGTAATAAATAAAATAAAATAATTCTTTTTTAAAAAGTTATTTATTATAATTTTAAAGTTTGTTATAGGGCATGTGCGATAGAGAGAGAGAAGAGAGAGAAAGTGAAAGCAAGCTACCAGGTCCGGGACTTGAACAGTGGTTGGTCATCTGGGTGGTTGGTCATCTGGGAGTCCAGCACCTTAATCACCACATCACCTATTGGTCCCATACAGGTATACATATCTTTAACAAATGGCCATGAAACCCCAGAAAGTTCGTAGTCCCAAAGGTATTCTCTAATGAATTCAGTAGGATTCAACCTCTCCATGCATTAGAATTACCTAAAGATGCCTATTTTTAAAACCAGAACAAATTAAACCAAACCTTTGAGTGATGCCTAATTCCAAAACCAGAACAAATTAAACCAAACCTTTGAGAATAAAGATAGCACTGGTGATTTTTAAAGTTCCTCAGATGATTCTGGCACCCAGGGGTGGTTGAAAAGCTCTGGGAAAAATCAACTCATGAATGGCATCTTCTGGCAGTTGTCTGAGGTAGCAGGGGACCTAAGCCAGCTACCCATCCTGAAGAAAATACCTTTCACTCGGTTAGTGGAATAGAGCTGAATATGGGGCCTGCTAGTGACCTCGATCAAAGCAAGAGAGTAGACACAGAGGGAACTGGACTGGTAGGCACCAATGTGGGAGGGACAAGCACTCGTTAAGGGCTTCTTATTGGATGAAGTTGTACATTTTTCCCAAGGCGACATCAGTATGAGGTGGCCTTCTGTTACCTACTGCTGAACACATTTTGCCAAATGCGAACGCCAAAGGACAGAAGGCTCCGGAGTGTTCTGCATTAGCACCTGCAGGAACATCAGCTGGAAAATCTTATAGTGCTGGCCAGAATGTACCCAGGTGTCACTTGGCAAATGTTCATCGATGTCTGCGTATGCCTGGCACTGAGCTCAGTGATGGGGCAGTGGGAGAGGAGAATCAGACCTCCCTTCATCTGTTAAGAAATCGCCCCTTAGGGACTCCGCTTGTGTTGGTCCCTCCACCTGAAGCTCTGCTCCCCACGCACTTCCTTTCAACAACTCATCACAATTGTCATAAAATAATGTATTTACTTCATTGATGACTTATCTCCTCAGAGACACTGTGAAGATGCAGAGCTGGGAAAACCATGGTCCGATGTAACCATCTGGACAAGTGGGGTAAAGGAGACCGGGGGTCTCCATTCATTTCTCACTCAGATCAATTTCTGGGGGAAGAGGTCATTTAAGATTTAAGGTAGAGGAACACTTAAGGCTTGGGTGGGAGAACACTTGGGATTTATTCATCTGCTAAATACATACATGTGTAGTGCTCTGCTCGTTATGTTCCTGGTTCTAGTCTAAGCACATAGATACTGGTTCACTTGTTGAAAGTGAAATGTTGGGAATAGCAGATGGCATAATGGTTATGTCATTGGACTCCGACATAGCTGACCACTGTTCGAATCCCAGACCTGGTAGCTTAAAACTCATGCCAGGTGCATGTGCATGCATGCCCACGATCCTGAGAGAAGAATGGAGGAGAAGGGACTGCGGTGTGACCGTCCCCTAGCCCCCACCCCGGGGGGGGGGTGATTTCTTGCTTTCGGTCTCTCTGGTGAGTGTACATGTCCTATAGCAAAAATCTCTCTTGAAGAAAAAGTGAAATGTTATTAATAAAAATGATAAAATCATGCTGTCTGCTCAAGGCAGGAAATTTGAGACCATTCTTTTAGCTGAGGTGGAAATTAGCCAACAGCCATGAAAGCATTAAAGACTCAGCACTAAAGCACAAAACCAAGACTGAACAATTAAAGGGGCAGGAAAGTAAAATGAAAAGAAAACAGTGGCACCAGCAGGTGGCTAAGTGGTGCTGGACTCCCACATGGCCAACTGAAGTTCGAGTCCTGGACCTGGTGGCTTCAAACTCACACCAGGTGCGTGTGTGTGCCCAAAATCCCGAGAAGAGAATGAAGGAGAAGGGATTGCAGTGTGGCTATTCCCCCTGGGGGGGAGGGGGATTTTCTCACTTTCTCTTTCTCTCTGTCCTTCTGATGAATGCATGCAACCTATAGCAAACATCTCTCTCAATTAAAAAAAAAAAAAGTAAAACAAAAAACCTCTCTGATGCCCATCAGTGCCATTTGATAAATATGTCCATGCCCACCTCTAAAATTATCACTCCCCAACAGAGAAGCAAGGCACATGCCTTAGAAAATACAGGTCAACTGTGCATGTATCACAGGCTAGAAAAGCCTGTTTGTTGAGATTATGTTGCTTAGAAAGATACCAATAGCACGGATGGTAAACATCCTCTTATTGCCTGTGATCACCCCCTTCTTGGAGAACCTCCCACCACCCACAGGTCCTGCTAACTGGGCTGTGAGGACACTTGACTTAACAAAGCTGGGCCAATACCTTCCCTCTTTTGGGAATCTTGAACAAGGACATCATCAGACTGAGACTACCTTGTGTGTTTAACACTGGGGTGAAACTGCCGAGAAAGACTAGGCTTTTTACACGTCAATCCCTGACAGAGACAGAGGGAAACCAAACAAGAGGAGGTCAGGCCACAACTGGTAGAGGCTGCAGGATAAGGAAGGGGAGCTCCTGAGGCCTTTTCAAACAGCCATTCTAGTGACAGAGGCAGAATCAACGAGGGGGTGGGAGAGGAATGAGGCCTTACCCAGTGAGACCAGGAGCCTACAGGTCTCTAGCATCACTTCCTGGTACAGCATCCTCTGGGCCAGGTCCAGATGTCCCCATTCCTCTCCAGTAAAGGTCACAGCTACATCTTCAAATGATACCAGTGCCTAGAAAGTCAAACAGAGGTGGCAGGGTGGCTAAGTAGCTCTTAGATGAGATTAGCATTTACTGCTCCGTTACAGGCCAAAGTCCAGAGAGACGCAAGGCATGAACCGCTGAGCATCACCTGAAACCTAGCTCTGTGTGGGCTCAGGATGGAGGCAGATGGCACCTCTGACAGAATGCAAAGGTCTGAGAGAAAAGTCTCAGATGTTGGTAGCCATCGGAGACTGACACAAGACAATGATAATCCTATGTGCGCTGTGAGGCTCCGGTGGTAAGCACTCTGGGATGCTGGGAGAGTGGGGAAACAATAATTCAATGAGCAGCAGCAGCAGCTGAGCCTCACTGGTCCACACTGGTCTACCTACACCTGGGGGATTAACATGCTGTGTTTTAAAGTGAGGAAGAGTCTCCAGGTCTGGAACCAGACTCCGGGGTTTAAATCCAGCCTCTTGAACCAACACATGCCAGATGTGTGACTTCGGGGGAGTCTCCTGATTTCTTTGAGCCACAATTTCCACAGCAATACAATACTAGGTCTTACTTTTCCAAAATAAAAGAAAAAATGTTCATAAAGCAAACGTTCCCACAGCAATACAATACTAGGTCTTACTTTGCTAAAATAAAAGAAAAAATGTTCATAAAGCAAACACTGGAGTGCCCAGCACAAGTCACAATGTGAATTTGCAAATTTTATTATTAATCATCCTCTAGCTCTTGTGCAAATGCTCTTGTACCTCCATTTCATAGTTGTAGAGGACAGTCATTCTGAGCAAACATGGTGACCTTTAATACTTTTTTTTTGGAGAGGTTTTTGCTCTAAGGTGCGTGTGCTCGCCAGACAGACAGAGACAGAGAGACAGAAAGTGAGAAATTACCCCCGAGGGGTGATGGCCATGCCACAGTCCCTTCTCCTCCATTTTCCTCTCGAAATCTTGGGCACGCATGCACACACACCCGGCATGAATTTAAGCCACTGGGTCTGGGACTCGAACCGTGGTCGATTACATGGGAGTCCAGCCACATAGCCATTACGCCAACTGCTGGTCTCCATGGTGGCCTTTAAACACCTGCAGAAATGCAGTTCCAGGGGCAGTCATTCACAGAATGATGAATGCCATTAACACAGGAATATGCTAGCTGCCTGGGATGAAAGGAAGCCACCTGTTTTGCATTCCACTTCCTCTATCTGGTCTGGGATCTGTGAGGATAATCCCCATATTCCTGTATCATCAGTGAATCCAGTGACAAGGGCAAGAAACATTTCCAATAGTTTTTACAGTTAAAACCATTTTAACTACTCCTGAAAATAATTTCCACAGATACAGAAGGAAGAGCAGAGCCATCATCTGCCTCACAGAAGAGGTACCTGAGCAGACTGGCTTCTGCTCTCGAGATTCCGCAATGAGCCAACAGCAGCTTCTTTTTCTTTCTGGGTCACTGTCAACACATTTTCCAAAAGTATTGTTATTTAAGTACCAGGTAACACAAATGGCCAATGACATGCAGGCTATGGCTCTAGGAATGTGGGCAGCACCCTTCACCATGATGTCTGCTCTGGATGGATGGGATGGTGGGAGGAGGATCCATCAGACAATCACAATGTGTCTTCCTGAGACAGCTCAGAAGGTGTCAAGAGACCCATGCAACCTTCTGGGGCCTCACATGCCTCTTTGCATAGAAAATACTCCCTGCCTTTATCCATGCAATTCCCTTTAATGGAAGGTTCCCCAAAGTCTGCCTCATTCACGAACATACTGGCCAGAAAGTTCTACACCCTCCCTTACTTCTGGTTGCCACTCAGTTAAGAATGTAGGCTTGGGACCGGCAAGTGGCATGGTGGTTAAAGGCGTTGTACTTCCACATGGTCGACTGGGGTTTGAGTCGTGGACCTGATTGCTTGCTTTCTCACTTTCCCTCTCTCTCTGATCAAACTGGAAAATAATGATGATGATGATGATAATAATAATAAAGTTAAATAAATTAATTCTTATCCAAAAAGAATGTGGGCTCTAAGTGGTCAACATACTGAATGTGTTTCTGCTACGTATGAGCTGTATGACCTTGGGTAATTAACCTATCTGAATCTTCAGTTTCTTCTATAAAGCAGTGAAAATGAAAGACTTACTCGGAGTAGAAGGGAATTAAATGAGGCTATACATACAAATTGCCTCTCAGTGCATATCCAGGGCACAATGAAGACAAGCTATTATTTGTTCTTTTAAATACTTTTCCCGTTTGCTTCTCCAGCACCCTGGGAAAGCTCCATGTAGCACACATCCAAGGGGGCAGGCTTGCAGAGATCTGGGAACACTGTGACAGAGAAAGTGGAAGACAAATTTGCCACGTTTGGCCCACCATTGCTCCAGGGCAATGAGCAAGAGAGGAATGGAAAGTGGAGTGATGGGGGTAGGGGTGTGTGCCCTGGTGGGTAGACTTTGCAGCCATGGTAGAGGTTTACACGGAATCTAAGTATGACGGGAGCTCCGAGGGTAGACTCTCATTCATCAACCACACACTGAGTAAGTGGTATAGGCTGAGCACTGGGCTAGGGCTGGGCATGGAAAAGAGAATCTGGGGTTGGAGACAGAGCCTCAATAGTGAGTGAGATAAAGTCAAATGTTTTTATGGCTTTTTCTCTCTCTTTTTTTAATTTAAATTTATTTGCATTCATTCACTGTACATCATTACAGCATACAAAATGAGATTTTCTTTTTTTTTTTTAAGAGAGAGATTTATTGATATAGGACATGTGCACTTGCCAGACAGACAGAGAGACAGAAAGCGAGAAAACACTCACTTGGGGATGGCTATGCTGCAATCCCTTCTTCTCCATTCTCCTCTTAAGGTCCTAGGGTACACGTGCCCAGCAGGAGTTTCAAGCCTCTGGGTTTGGGACTCGAACCACGATCAACCATGTGGGAGTTCAGCAACATAACCAGGACACCATCTGCTGGCCTGACTTTATCTGCTCTAAAAACAGCAACAGACATGTGAGACAACCACCAAGACAAGGTAAGACTTTAGATGAGGAAACCAAGACAGACCTCTCTGAAGGGACACTAGAACAGGCTGGAATGAAGTTAGAAAGCAGGCCAGCCGAGGAAAAATGCATACGCCGTGTAAGGTGACCATGGCTATGGTGAGTGTAAGCAGGATGGCATGCTGGAGAGGAACTTGGGGACTGACTGGATGTGTTTACATCCCAAGATATCTAAATGTTCCCGTGCACTGTCCTTAGGGAATGTTGTAATGGGTTCACTTTTCAAATACAAGTAAATGTATTGAACAGGAAAATAGGTTCACTACTGCTAAGTGGCAAGTCACCTGTAACACAGATGGCACTGCAAGGGTAAATCCATTGACTCGATCTTCTAGCCTATCTGAGGGCCTTTCTACCTCTAATAGAGGGGTAGCGGTTCCGCAGAAGCTCCACAGGCTCTCATTCTCCTTCCAGCGATCAGCTAGGAAGAAGCCTGCTAGGAAGAAGCCTGCGGGGAGGCCTGAGGCCCACACTCCTACTGGAGTGAGCTCCTAGGTAAAGAGCAGGACCTGGGGAATTCCTCCCCAGAAAGAGCACACACCCCAAGCGTACCCTCCTTGCCATTTCCCTAAGCAGACATAATTATTACTATTCCCATCTTAGGCTCGAGGAATTGGAGGCCAAAAGCAGCGAGTCAAACACGGTTAGAGACAGAAATGGAGACTCCTTTCATTATAAGGAGTTATACCCTTGTCCTGGGTTGAGATCGATTAGCTCTGCTCTCTTTCCCCGCACCCGCTCCCAGGATGTTCAGATCCAAGGTCAGCAAATGGGAAGTGGAAGAGTCCCGAGATGCCCTATAACACAGCGGATGGGACGGGGCAGCGGAACCCTCCACTCACCAGTCGCAGCGCCGCCATGGAACCCTGCGGCGGAGCGAGGCCGTGAGTGGTGGCGCCAAAGGCCGTCCGGTGAGCTCAGCCGACCCCTCACTGCAGTCCCAGGCGACGACGAACCCGTCTCCACCATGAAAAATGCGCACAGAGTTCGAGGTGCCGCCTCTGGGCGCTGTGGGGGCAAATGGCAGGTGCCAAGGCCCCGGAAAGCGATGGGCAACAACCCTACGGAGAGGTGTGGGTGGGTCGCGGGTCGTGCAAAAGCGTGTAAGAGGGCCCTATTCTCACGGTCCTCCCCTGCGTCTCTCAAATCCTGGACAGCGACCTTCACCCGGTACTCCAGCGCTTGCACTCCAGTAAGAACTGACCAGCCCCGGCCCAACAACATCCTCAGGCGCGTCTCCAGAAGTCCCGCCCACATAGCCACCGGAAACGCCCCCTCCGTTTGCTGTCATTGGCCCAGCACCTGCCTTTATCTCTCGACGCACTGCCCTCTGGGTAATGTAGTTTCTGACCCGAATCCTGGTGGCTCCCTTTTCAGATCACATCAGCGTTTCCCGGAATTTGTTACAAATACAAGTTTTCGGGCTGTCAGAGCCACTAAATCAGATATTCTGCGTTGGGGCTGAGCACTTTGCTTAAGGCCTCCAGGGTATTTTGATGCTCCAACACATTTGAGAACTGTACTCAAACATTCCAGTGAAATAAAGCAACGAAAGTACTTACTTGGCGGGAGGTAGCTGAAATGTGCTTAGCACTGAGCCTGGAACATAATCAAGTACACAAGGGCTATTGCTGTCATCATTGTTAGTCCATATTAGTTTTATCGCCCAACATCATCTGAAGCATTTATACTGCTATAGGAGAGTAAGCACAAGATACTTCTTTGCAGATTCACTGGTGACATTCGTCAAAAAGTAAAATACATCGACTTTGGGGGCTGGTTGGTGGTACAGCCATAGCAATGCTGGGTGAGGCTGGCACAGATGGGAAGGTTCTGATTCCAGCCCAGACTCCCTGAGTATGTCAGCACACTTGTAGCTGATCCAGGCTAGCTGAGGCTGCAGGTGGATAGCCGGTCAAAATCTACAGTTGGAGGTACTGACTCTCTCTGTGTCTCTTACTCATGGAAGAAATAAACTTAAAAAATACATTGACTCTAGGGGTCAGCAGGTGGTATAATGGTTAGGGCGCTGGACTCCCACATGACTCACTGCAGTTTGAGTCCCAACCAGAAGCTTGAAAAATTACACTGGATGGGACCAGCAGTTAGCGTAATGGTTGTGTCGCTGGACTCTCATGTAGTCAACCACAGTTTGCATCCTGGACCTGGTGGCTTAAACTCATGCCAGGTGCGTGTATGTGCGTGCCTAAGATCCCGAGAGGAGAATGGAGGAGAAGGGATTGCGGCATGGCCATCCCCCTTGGGGGGTGATTTCTCGCTTTCTGTCTCTCTGTCTCTTTCTGTCTGGCGAACGCACGCTCCCTATGGCAAAAAAACCTCTCCAAAAAAAAAAAAAAAGAAAGAAAGAAAAAGAAAAATTACACTGGGCATGAGTGCATGCATGCCTAAAATCTCAAGAGAGAATTGTGGGTGTGGCCATTCTCCCTGAGGGGTGATTTCTCATTTTCCCTCTCTGTCTGTCTCTCTTTGGTGAGCTCAGAATTCATGTGCCCTATGGCAAAAACTTAAAAAAAAAAAACCAAAAACATTGACTGTAATTCAACAAGGAGTCTCATGAGTCGTGTTTGGAATTTTTACACAATAATAATTTGTGTCACTTGGCTCATGTACATCTTATCATTCGATATTACAGTATATAAAGGAGGGTTTCGCAATCTACAGGTAGACCAGCACAAATGCGCATCTGTGAGACAGCCCAGCTGGTATCCACTAGCTCAGGGTCACCAGGTCGTGGTGTTAGCCCATCACTCAAACCTGTAGCCCACAAGAACAGAGCAATATATCCTGAGCATCGTAACAGGTGAAAGAATGAAGGCCGAAGAGGCATCCACAGGATGGAGACATCCGCAGGATGTCTCTCCCTCGTTACGATAAGAAAACGTAACGAAGACACAATCCCACAATCCTTTCTGCCCAAATTCCAGCGCCCATTACTCATGCACACAGTCCCCAAATGTGAGAGAAGGGGGACTTGCTGTCTTTCAGAATATTCAGAAAGAGATAATGGGACTGATAAACACTGGACCTCCTTAATGTAACAAATTAAAACCCCCATCTAGTCTCTGACCTCATCTGAATCTTAAGATCTTGGGGGAGGGGTGTGATTTTATGCATCCAGTTCAGATTTTGCTCCTTTAAGACCAGGAAGCTCTAAACAAAGCTTAAAATTGTCTCCATCATACCTAATAAACAGTTGGAAGTTAGGGACAGAAGGGAAGGACTACTCAAGCTGCCCAAAACAAAGCAAAACAAAACTACCAACCTAGACTGCTCTACACAACAAGAGTATCTTTCAAGAACAGTGTGAAGTAAGACTTTTAAAGGCAAAATATATATAACAAAATGGAAAAATAACCTGCATAAAACAGCCTAAATATTATACTTAGGTCAAGGTAAAGTGATCCCAACTGAAAGTTCAGCAGAATAAGAATCAAAGTAAAAGGTGTAATTGTGGATTTATGCAACTGCTCACTAGCTCTGTGAATATCTTATTTCCTGTTGGAGTGAGAATGATAGAATTATCATGTAGATCCTCAATAACATACACACTAATATGGGAAAAAGAGTTCTAAATCCCCTATAGTTTTTCCTATGTTTTCCAAGTAGAAAAAAAAAAAGATAGGTCTATATGTTCATGTGTTAAAGATCTAAATAGGAAGTTATTTTTTCTTAATGATTTGAAAGACTCAATGTAGTGAAGATATCAAATTTCCCCAAATTGACATATAGGTTTTATACAATTCCTATAAAACTAAAAGCAATATTTCTCTCTTTCTCTTTTTGGTAAATAAAGATAACATTATTATTGATTTTTTTTGAAGAGGTTTTTGCTAGAGGGCGAGTGCACTCGCCAGACAGAGACAGAGAGACAGAGAGACAGAAAGCGAGAAATCACTCCCTGGGGGGGATGGCCACGCCACAATCCCTTCTCTTCCATTCTTCTCTCAGGATCTTGGGCACGCACGCACATGCATCTGGCGTGAGTTTTAAGCCACCGGGTCCGGGACGCGAACCGCGGTCAACTGCATGGGAGTCCAGCGACATAGCCATTACGCTAACTACTCATCCCTAGATGACATTATTTTAACATGTAGATGGAAAGACAAAGAAACTAGAAAAACTAAAATAGTTTCAAAGAAGAAGAAGGAGATGGGAAGGATCATTGGGCCTGATTTCAAGATTTATGAAATAGTTGTGTAAGATACTTGTACAGGAACTGACACATTGATCGATGGAGCAGAAATAGCCCCACACAATTATAGCCAACTAGTATTTGCCAGAAGCAATTCACTGGAGAAAGGATAGTCCTTTGAATAAATGATGGTTGGTTAAGCAATTAGATATTTATAACCTTAAAAAAAAAAGAACTACTTCATACCTTATACAAAATTTAACACAAGATTGAATCACAAACTGAAATGTAAAATGAAAAGCTGTAAAATTTCAGGCCATTTCCAAGGCACAGCAGTAACATGCTACTCAATAGAAGCCAGATCCCATATGGCAACCACAGTTTGAATCCCCGAGTCTGGTTGGCTTTGAACCACGCTAGACACATTTCACAATCCAATAGGCTGGAGGACTGGAGGAAGTGCCGTGAAGGTTGCTTCTCTTTCTGTCTCTCCCTTGTGTAAGCTCATGTGCTTTAACATGACTATAGAAAAAAAAAAGTAGAATGTAGGACAATATCTGTGAGACTCAGGGATTATTTTACCATAAACTACAGGAAAAAAAAGGCTTAATGAACCTATGAGAATGTCTTGCAGGAACAACTCAGCAGTCCCTGAGCCATCATGCCAGTGCCTACAATTCTCGGCATAACCAACCCCCGGAAATGTCAACTGTGTAAGGAGACAGAGTCTGAACCATAGAACTGCCCTGGAACTGGACAACTATTCAGGCTAAGAGTGGCCAAGTCAGATGGGCTACAGAGGCTGACCCCAAGACTCCTGACTCTCAGACCCTTCACAGCGAGGCCTCAGGGTGACAATTGTTGGGACTGCGCAGGGAGTGTTCTGTTCAGCATAGGGCTCATAGCTTGGCCCTGGCAACCAAAGTACATGTGCCAGGAAAGCAGAGATGGAAGAAGTGCCCATCTTCAGCTGTGAGGACAGAGCTGCCCCTGGAGCAAAGGAGCAGGCAGAAATCAAGTCCCTAATGGGAAGTCGTCCAGCATCACATCACAGTACAACAGCCCCCACTCCCACAGGGAGAAATGAAATAGCCGTATCGTTAAAGGTCATACGGCCCTGCCATGACAGGGACAGATGGTTACATGATCAGCTGCTCATCGCAGAGTGCCAGCTCATCCTCCCATATATACAGCCCAGGCTCACTGTCCTCTTCAACTTCCCAATGCAGTGGAGATACCAGGCAACAGTGACACTGATGTTCACTCTCTACTCATACCCCTGATCCCTGTGTCAGCCCGCAGCAGAACAGGCAGGTAGACAAATACCAACTAAGCTCTGCGCCTGGCACATGGGGTTTAAAGACATACCCAGGGGAACCAGCAGTTAGCATAATGGCTATGTCGCTGAACTTCCACGTAGTCAACCGTGGTTCGAGTCCCGGACCCAGTGACTTAAACTCACGCCGGGTGAGTGTGCGTGCGTGCCCAAGATCCCGAGAGGAGAAGAGAAGAGAAGGGATTGTGGCGTGGCCATCCCCCCTGGGGAGGTATTTCTCGCTTTCTGTCTCTCCGTCTCTCTCGCCATGCCAAAAAAAAAAAAAAGAAAAAACCCAGGATTTTTTTTTTTTAAATGAGATACAGTAAGATGGCAGAAATGGAAACTACCTTTGAAAGAAGTGTTTATTCCAGTTCCCAAGAGGAGAGGTCAGGCCATAACACAGAACCACAGGCAAGTGCTTGAGGTCAGTCAAGGGGCAGAAGGAGCAAGGTGAGGAGGAAACAGGAGACAGATTTTACTGTGATTTTTTTTTTATAGGAAGAAACTGGCAACTCAGAGTAGGCAAGCCCAGCAGGATATGGACTGGATAATGTAAACAATTTTCTTTAGCATATAAGGGTGATCTCTAGATGTCTAGTACCTGGCCCTAGAGTGATTTAGGGCAGGGAATAGTGTCCTGGACTTCAGGAGTCTTATAAAAGGATGCAGGGAGGAGTATAGACTCAGATTTGTTGGTTTCCATACCAATGCCTTGTTCATGGGCAAGTTCTTTACCATCTATGAATTAGTGAGCCCTGGGAGGGTAAGTCTCTCCAGGATCAGCAAGGT